AGCCTTTTGACGATGGTAAATGAGAAGAGTGAAAAAGGTGGCTTGAAATTCAACATTTAAGCAACTGAGTTTATGGCATCTAGTCACATCACTTCATGGCAAATAGGAGAAAATGTTGAAGCAGTGACTGATTTTACTTTCTTGGGCTCCAAAATCACTGTAGACAGTGACTGCAGCCATGAAATTAAAAGACACTCCTTGAAAAAAAAAAAAAAAGACACTCCTTGGAAGGAAAGCTATGACAAATCTAGATAGAATATTAAAAAGCAGAGACATCACTTTGCTGACAAAGGTCTGTATAGTCAAAGCAATGTTTTTCCCAGGAGTCATGTACAGATGTGAGAGCTGGACTGAAAATAAGGCCGAGCACTGAAAAATTTATGCTTTCGAATTGTGGAGCTGGAGGAGACTCTTGAGAGTCCCTTGGACAGCAAGATCAAACCAGTCAATCCTAAAGGAGATCAATGGGCATGAATCCGAACAAACTCCAAGAGACGGGAGGACAGGGGAGCCTGGCGTGCTGCAGCCCATGGGGTCGCAGAGAGTCTGACACATCAGAATTAGTGACTGAACAACAGCTCTATGTATAAATATACATATGTAAGTAAAACAGAATTATTTTGCTATGTACATAAAACACAATATTGTAAATTAACTATATTTGTATTTTTAAAAAGTGGTGCCAGGAAAACTGGACAGCTACATGTAAAAAAATGAAATTAGAATATTTTCCCACACCACGTACAAAATAAATGAAAACTGATTAAAGACCTAAATGTAAGGCCAGAACCATAAAACCCCTAGAGGAAAACATAGGCAGAACATTCTTAACATAAATTGTAGACATACTTTTCTGGATCTGTCTCCTATGGTAAAGGAAGCAAAAGCAAAAATAAATAAATGGGACCTAATTGAAAAGCTTTTGCACAGCAAAGGAAACCACTGATTAAACAAAAAGACAACCTACTGACTGGGAGAAAATACTTGCAAATAATATGACTGATAGGGGTTAATATTAAAAATACATAAAAAGCTCATGCAACTCAGTGGGCAGGAGACCTAAACAGACATTTTCCTAAAGATGTAGATGGCCAAAAGGCACATGAAAATATGGTCAACATAACTAATCACCAGAGAAATGCAAATCAAAACCACAGTGAAATATTACCTCATACCTGTAAGAACAGCTATCATAAAAAAGACCACAAATAACACATGTTGAATAGGATGTGGAGAAAAGAGAATGGATGTACATGATTGGTGGGAAGGTAAATTGGTGCAGCCACTGTAGAAAACAGTATGGAGGTCCTTCAAAAATCTAAAAACAGAGCTATCATATATATAACCCAGCAATTCCACTCCCGGGTATATACCTGAAAAAAACGAAAACACTAACTTGAAAAGATACATATACCCCAGTGTTCACAGCAGTATTATTTATAACAGGCAAGATACGGAAGCAACCTAAGTGTCTACCAACAGATGAAGAGATAAAGACAATGTACATACATGCAATGTACATACATGCGATTCAGCCATGAAAGAATGACAATTTTCCACTTGCAACAACATGGATGGACCTGGATGGTATTATGCTAAAGTGAAAGAAGTCAGGCAGAGAAAGACAAATACTGTACATTATCATGTATATGTGGAGTTAAAAAAATAAAGCAAACTAGTGAATATAGCAAGAAAGTAATAGACTCACAAAGAGCACAAACTAGTGGATATCAGTGGGGAGAAGGAAGCAGAGAGGAGCAAGATAGGGGTATGGGATTAAGAGGTACAAACTATATGTATAAAATAAATATGCTACAAGGATTATTGTAAAGCACAGTGAATATAGCCAACATTTTATAATCATTATAAAGGGAGTGTTAGCTTTAAAGTTTTGAATCGCTATGCTGTTATATCTGAAACAAATACTGTAAATCAACTATGCCTGAATTAAAAAAAAAAAAGAAATGCTGGAAAACTATATTCCAAAGAAAAGAAAATGTAATATCTCTTAAAAACTCAATTTTTGTCCCTTTTAAGACACTAAAGCTAACACCATATCTATGGGATGTATGTAGGAATTTAGGGAGGCTACCCTTGGTAGAGTGGTGGGAGAATATTTCAGATGCTCTCAGGATGTCAGGAGGAAATAAAAGCAACTTCTAGGGTCGAGAAGAGATGGAACAGAGCCCCCAAGGAGAGAAAGGAGGGAAGGATGCTTCCTGCAAGGTTAGAATTCAGTGTGCTATGCAGTCCCAGCTCAGACTTCTGGCAGAGACACCGCCCGTGGCTCCTGTTTGACACAGATCTGTTTCCTCCACGAGCCTACATTTGAGTCAGAACAGCTGTGTCTTGCCTCAGAGTCTTGCAGAGCAATGACCCAGCCATCATATTAATGGGAACCTGCATGGTCAGGGCTCTGAGGCTTCACATGTCCAACTGCTTGGTCTCTGGGAAAGGTGCTATCAAAGCCCAAGTCCCACAGGCGGTGCCTAAGGAGACCACTAGGCACCAGAGGGACTGCCTGGGAGGAGACCCCTGCACGGGAACTTCGGGGCTGCCTGGGGCGCTCTACAGTGCCTGGAACTGGGCACAGAGGGGAGCAGACATCTTTGTATGAAACATACCAAACTGATATCAAAGGGCTTCATTACACATGGAAAACTGGGATTGAAAAAATTCATGAAGTGAAGCCATATAAGAAGATGACAAGAAATGAATATTTATTATCTTTATATTTAAAAAGAAATGACAGATTATTTGTTTTAGCTTATATTTAGAGTAGGCTGCAAATGCAACTCTTTTTAAATCCTTTGAACCAAGAATAAATCAAATGTTAAGTTGGCAGGCATAATTTTACTTAATAGATTATTTAATTGTGTGATACAATGTCTTTGATTTTGCTTTTGACTTTCCTGGCACAATTATTAAGAGGACATTTTTGCAAAAAGAAAAAGGGCTATAAAGCTACTAAAATTAAAATATTCTGGTATTAGTAGACAAATAAATCAATGGAGTAGAATAAAACTCCAGAAAAAGACTCATGTATATATGGAAATTTAATGTTAATATATGATAAAAAAAAAAGAATATACCCCAAGTCCATGCAGAAAAGGCTATTTAATGGTACTTATTATGGTTGAATTGTGTCCCCCAAAAGATGTGTTAAATCCTAACCCTCAGTCTCTCAGAACGTGACCTTATTTGGAAACAGGGTTATGGAAAATAAGAAAAGATGCATATATTCAACTGTATGAAAGAAAACTCTTTTGCTTTCAACAACAAAATGCACCACTAGCAAAAGACAAAAAAAAAAAAAACCTGAAAAATATCTGTAATTTATATCACAGACAGTTGGTTATTTTCTCCATGTAAAGATATTTTAAAATAGAAAAAAGAAATACTCAGAATCTGATGAATGGACACAGGAAATGAACAGATAGTTTACCAAAAAAAGAAAGGCAAACAGCCTTTGAACCTATGAAAGGATGCCCACTCATAATCAGATACTTAAAGTTATATTGAAATACCACCTGTCATTTATCAGACTGGCAAAAATCTCAACGTTTGAAAATAAATGCTCTTGGTATGACCCCAGAAAACATACACACACACACACACACACACACACACACACACACACACACACACACACACACACACAGCTTGTATTCATTCATTGTGGGATTATTTATAATAGCAAAAAACCAGAAAGAACTATCATCAGTAGAGGGCTCCTTAAACCAATTATGACAGAGTCACAATGCAGTTCTACTTAGTGGTAAACAGAAATGAGGATAATTTCTATGTATTGATGTGGGACAGAAAAGTATGCTGCCATTTGTATAATTAGAGGGGGATATATTTCAAAGATAAATATATATTTGTTTATATTTGATAAAGGAAATACTGGAAGAAGAAACCAAAAACTAAATAAATGAAGTGTACTGGAATTCTTAAGGACAGGAAAAGAAGCAAGAGTTCTCCCAAAAAGCCTCTTCATGCAGTTTTGACTTTTAAACCATATATTCCAAAACTGTATTTAAATTTTGTTTAAAAGGAAATCTTAGAACAGGAAGCAAATGGAAATAAATGAATCAAACTGTATATCAAAGTGTATATATATATGTGTATACATATACACATATATACATATACTTTCTTTAGGAATTACATCAAATGATTTTAAAATACAGTACTCTTACTGAATATCTTTGATGAGATATAGTCCAGGAACAAAATAAACTACAAAATATCTTAAACTTCATTCATGATTTTATTGTAAGTAATAATACTGGTATTGTAATTTTGAAAAACTTTAATATTATAAGATGAAACTAATTAATATTAATATTATTAAAAATCAAGATATTCAGTATAAGAGAAAAAAGATAAGTTAGGCAAAAGCCCTTATAAAGGTACATCTGAATTAGAAATACCAAATTGATCTCATCTTTTATAGCTTTATTTTTTTTTAATGATTTGAAACTATGATGACAGGAAACTTTAACATATCTAGTTATCTTACGGGACCTACGTCCTATGTAAGCTAGCCACATGTGTAGGCATGCTAAGTCACTTCAGTCATGTCTGACTCTTTGCGACCCTGTGGACCGTAGCCCACCAGGCTCCTCTGTCCATAGGATTCTCCAGGCAAGGACCCTGGGGTGCCATGCCCTCCTCCGGGGAATCTTCTCGACCCAGCGATAGAAGCTGAGTCTCTTGCATTGAAGGCAGATTCTTTACCATCTGAGCCATGGCTGACTCAGGTCTATGTCCTAGAATTATATTTTCTTTATATAACACTCACTTGTTCTCCTCATTAATCAGCATTGAAAGGATTTTGACTAAATATAACCAGTGCTATGAATTATATTCTAAAATCATCAATAATATTTAAAAAGCACTGCTTTTATTTTATAGTTTGTATTAAAAGTATAATGATTTCTAAAACATATATTCCTTAGCAATGTTTACTGTGGATGTCTAGATGCAATGATACTCTAGTAATAGTGAACATCTTTGGTCTCCAGACTTTGTTTTTCAACATACCTATCCTCATGGAAAGATATCAGTGTCTTTTGGAGAATAGTTGATTCCAGGTTTGGAGTAGGGAAAATGCAATATAAATCTAGACAGCTTGTTACGCCTGAAAGGAAGAAAACATTCAAAAATTATGGTACCATGTCCTAAGAGTGCAGAAACAAGTGTGAAGGGACCCAAGGGCCATTATTTGGGACAATTTGAAAATAAAAAAATAATGATGGGGTGAATGAAACACACTGCATATTTAAAAATTGTGAGTCAACAATGAAAAGAATACAGGGGACTTCTGGCTCTAGTGATGATGATATAGCAGCAAGTGCCAAACAATCATCAGCCACAACCTACATGAAAAGGAAATCCAGAAAAGAGGGATATACGCATACGTACAGTTTAAGGTCCGTCTAGTCAAGGCTGTGGTTTTTCCAGTAGTCATGTATGGATGTGAGAGTTGGACTGTGAAGAAAGCTGTGCACAGAAGAATTGATGCTTTTGAACTGTGGCTTTGGAGAAGACTCTTGAGAGTCCCTTGGACTGCAAGGAGATCCAACCAGTCCATCCTAAAGCAGATCAGCCCTGGGTGCTCATTGGAAGGACTGATGTTGAAGCTGAAACTCCAATACTTTGGCCACCTCATGCGAAGAGCTGACTCATCAGAAAAGTCCCTGATGCTGGGAAGGATTGAGGGCAGGAGGAGAAGGGGACGACAGAGGATGAGATGGTTGGATGGCATCACCAACTCAATGGACATGGGTTTGGGTGGACTCTGGGAGTTGGTGATGGACAGGGAGGCTTCGCGTGCTGCAGTTCATGGGGCCACAAAGAGTCAGACATGATTGAGCGGACATTAACTGAATTGAACAGCTGATTCACTTTGCTGTACAGTACAAGCTAACACAACATTGTAAATGTTATCATTGGATATCCCAATAAAAATTAAAACAAGAACAAAACCCCCCAAACACTCATCAGCCACAAACACACACAAAACTGGGAAAGAAATTAGTAAAATATAAAAACAATGATTGTTCTATAAAACCCTGGGAGAAATAATTTTCAGCAAAACACAAAATTTTAAGCATTCCTCTAATTTTATAACTTTTTACTGTGAAATAGTTGCTTCTGTTTTAAATAACAGAATTGATGATGAAGCAAGGAAATGTAATTTGGATGAAAAAATTCTTTAAATCTAATAAAAATTCCTTAAACAGCAAAAAAATTAATGAATAAACAAAAATACTCTAAATCTATAAGGAACAATACTCATATTTATTTATATAAACACTTAATAATGTGTACATGGTTAGCTGGCTGCAACTTTTAAATGACATTAATAAAGTCAGTTTTTAATTTTCTAAACAGAAAATTTTAAATTCAAATTATATATGAATATCTGCAAGATTGTCTTAAAAAGTAGAATTGTTTTGGTTTAATGAACACATAAAACACATGATACACTAAATTTATAGAAAAACCTATAGATCACAAAATGACAGTTTTCCCCTTAATTAAAAACATGTCCTCATTCTGAAAATGGCTTATTATAGCTTTATTTTTTACTAGGGTCAACTTTCTATTTTAAAGTCTAATTTTTATATAAATATAAAGTACTATCTTATGGATATATTTTCATTTTCTTACTAGTAAAAATGATATGCCCTCATGATTTAAACATTAATCAAAATTAATTTTACACTTTAAAATTAAAATTTTTAATTTAAAATTTAAAAATTTAAAAATTTAAAATTTAAAATTTTAATTTTACCACTTTACATTTTTAAAATGTTACTACTAGAATTAAAATAGTTAAAAATGAGGCATGGGGTCATAAGCGTGCTAACATGCAAAAGTATAGAAGATGCTACTAGAACAGTAGCTATTATCTTCTCCCAAAATTATCTGGGTGTGTTTCAACTTTTGGCAGTTTTAGTGCTATATTTTGTGAAAAGTGTCAGTAAGAACAGATAGTTTGGTTGCCTTAAATTACAATTGCTTTGCTCTGTAAATTTATGGGTAAATTTCATATTCTGTGCTATTTTAATACCTTGCTTATATAGATGGGCTTCTCTGTGGCTCAGAGGGTAAAGCATCTGCCTGCAATGCAGGAGACCTGGGTTTGATCCCTGGGTCAGGAAGATCCCCTGGAGAAAGAAATGGCAACCCACTCCAGTATTCATGCCTGGAGAATCCCATGGATGGAGGAGCCTGGTAGGCTATAGTCCGTGGGATCACAAAGAGTTGGCCAGACTGAGCAACTTCACTTTCACTTTATATAGCTGAGGGAGGAGGGAAACCACAGTAATGTTTAGTCCTTATATTTGGCTTTTGCTAAAGAAATGTGAACAATTTCTTAAAGGTTATTCACGAAGGCTGTTTGAGAAGATCTTAAATGATCCGTTAAATTTTAAAATGGAAAACCTTGAAAATCAATTGAAACGGTATGTTGACTGTGATGGGTTCTCTATATAGCAGACTTCATTAGTTGCTACTATTGAAATATTATTCTGTATTACAGATGAAAAGAAAATCTCATGTGAAGAATGGTCCACTAATCTTTCATTTCTGCAGGCTGACTTCAATTTCTACTAACTGAAAAATCAACAGTTTATTTCCATTAGGATTTAATTTTATATCTGTAAATAAGTATTATGCACAGTATTTCATTTAAAAACTGTTAAAGCAGACTGTCATTTTATGGGTCAGTTCAGTTTAGTGGGGCTTCCGTGATAGCTCAGTTGGTAAAGAATACACCTGCAATGCAGGAGACCCTGATTCGATTCCTGGGTTGGGAAGATCCACTGGAGAAGGGCTAAGCTACCTGTTCCAGTATTCTTGGGCTTCCCTTGTGGCTCAGCTGGTAAAGAATCCACCTGCAATGTGGGAGACCTGGGTTTGATTCCTGGGTTGGGAAGATCCCCTGGAGAAGGGAACAGCTACCCACTCCAGTATTCTGGCCTGGAGAATTCCATGGACTGTATAGTCCATGGGGTCACAAAGAGTCGGACACAACGGAGCCACTTTCACTTTCAGTTTAGTCACTCAGTCGTGTCTGACTCTTTGCAACCCCATGGATTGCAGCACACCAGGTTTCCCTGTCCATCACCAACTCCTGGAGCCTACTCAAACTCATGTCCATTGAGTCAGTGATGCCATCCAACCATCTTGTCCTCTGTCGTCCACTTCTCTTCCTGCCTTCAATCGTTCCCCGCATCAGGGTCTCTTCTAGTAAGTCAGTTCTTTGCATCATGTGGCCAAAGTATTGGAGCTTCAGCTTCGGCATCAATCCTTCCAATGAATATTCAGGACTGATTTCCTTTAGGATTTACTGGTTTGATCTCCTTGCAGTCCAAGGGACTCTCAAGAGTCTTCTCCAACACCACAGTTCAAAAACATCAATTCTTCGGCACTCAGCTTTCATTATAGTCCAACTCTCACATCCATACATGACTACTGGAAAAATCATAGTTTTGACTAGATGGACCTTTGTTGGCAAAGTAATGTCTCTGCTTTTTAATATGCTGTCTATGTTGGTCATAGCTTTTCTTCCAAGGAGAAAGAGTCTTCTAATTTCATGGCTGGAGTCACTATCTGCAGTGATTTTGGAGCCCAAGAAAATAAAGTCTGTCACTGTTTCCATTGTTTCCCTATCTATTTGCCATGAAGTGATGGGACCGGATGCCATAATCTTAGTTTTTGGAATGTTGAATTTTAAGTCAGCTTTTTCACTCTCCTCTTTTACCTTCATCAAGATGTTCTTTTGTTCCTCTTCACTTTCTGCCTTAAGGTTAGGTGGTTCATCTGCATATCTGAGGTTATTGATATTTCTTATTGCAATCTTGATTCCAGCTTGTGCTTCATTCAGCCTGGTATTTTGCATGATGTACTCTGCACAGATGTTAAATCAGCAGGGTGACAATATACAGCCTTGATGTACTCCTTTCCCAATCTGGAACCAGTCCATTGTTCCATGTCCGATTCTAACTGCTACTTCTTGACCTGCATACAGGTTTCTCAAGAGGTAGGTAAAGTGGTCTGGTATTCTCATCTCTTTAAGAATTTTCCACAATTTGTTGTGATCCACACAGTCCAAGGCTTTGGCGTAGTCAATAAAGCAGATGTTTTTCTCGAATTCTCTTGCTTTTTCGATGATCCAGCGGATGTTGGCAATTTGATCTCTGGTTCTCCTGCCTTTTCTAAATACAGCTTGAACATCTGGAAATTCTCAGTCCACATATTGTTGAAGCCTAACTTGGAGAATTTTGAGCATTACTTTGCTAGTGTGTGAGATGAGTACAATTGTGCATTTGTTTGAACTTTCTTTGGCTTTGCCTTTCTTTGGGACTGGAATGAAAACTGACCTTTTCCCGAGTCATTTTAAGGGTACTGCAGAAGAAATGTAAGAGTATTTCAGAAGAAATGTAAGTCTAACTTTGGTTATTAATTCAATCAATCACTAAAACTAGAATTTAAATTTCATTTAGTTGACCCACTTAAAGTTGCTTTATTTTTGTGAATTCTTTTTCCTTTTTCTGGTAATCTTTTCTAAGTGAATTACTAACCTGATGAAGAGTTCTCCTATTTAGAGACTTATACTATCTTATCTTTCTTACATTAGGTTCATTTAATATTTTATTGTTTTTAGTTTGTATTATGACAGTAAATCCAACTTGACAGATTTAACTTTCCTAGGGTATTTATGCTTTGATTTTGTTCTTGAAATAAATAAATACTAAGAAGGTGTTCTATTTTATATTATCTTTATTAAATTAACTTTGGGATAAAAAAATTATAGGAATCCTCTGTAGTCAAATCATATATTTATTAAAGGTTTGCTTCTATGTACATTCTTCACGTATGTGTACATTTTAATTTTTCCCTTATGTAAGAGAATTCATTAAGAGAAGCAGGCAAGTGATGGCAAATCAACTTTTTAATGAGGTTGTGATCCTGATAACTCCATTTTCACTTTGTTTGTATCATAGCGAGTGAGTAGTTTAGGTCCCAGAATGCCAATAATTAGAGCTCCATTTGGAGCTGTGATCAAGATGGCTAAAAAGGCTACTGTCATCACATCCTTCGAATATGATTCCAAATGGGGTGCACTCATTCTTGCTTTTTCTAGAGCCAGAGGACCTAATACAGCCTATATTTAGAGGAGAAAAAAATGAGGCATAAAGAAAAATGCTAAATGGAGTTAACATATAGTAAAAATAAAGAGCTCTGTTATAACAAATAACACCTAGTACTAGACTACTAGAAAAGAGACAAGTGTTAATGAATTTTTGTAAATGACTCATCAATTCTATGTTCTTCTTAGCAAATATTATCTGGAAGGAGAGTGAAGCAGTGACAAATGGCTGATTTTGTGTTCTTGTCATCTCAGCTTTCCCCTGTTTATATCTTTTTTGAGTGCTCACAATACTTTTGGAACCTTAGGAGTTCAGATGAACCAGAGTTTTGCATATTTGTCTTTACCGTGAACCACTAGGTTCCTGGCTCTAACGAGACAATACAAAGTGCTAAGGTTTCTTATGGTTCCTTAGGAATTTGTCATCCATTTTCTTCTTGTTCTTCCTACTGGGAGCAGTGTGATATAGTAAAACTGACAAGAGTTTTGGAATTTATAACTTGCCTAAAGTTATAGTAAAGTAACTTGTTACTCAAAACAGGCAGCCTTGTCCCAAGGACCTGCTTTGCTAATCATGACATAGATTTTTTGTTGCATGGAAACTCACAAGCTTCTGTTTTGGAGTAACAGTAGAGAAAAGAATTTTAGGAAATCAGAGAGCATAACTACAAAGTTTCCTTTTTCTCTTTATCTCATTCATTCATTCAGCATTAATTTTTGTAGGCATACAGAGCTTATTTACTGTATACCTACTGCATGCTAAGTGTTAAGTATTAGGGAAAAATAACAACAAAAACTAACAAACATTTCTTATCCTTCCTATATATTCTAGTTGAGAGATTCAGTCATAAATCAGTCATGCAAATTAAATATATAATTAAAAATAATACATATGCATTTATGTATGGTAGAGTGAGTGGCAGGGGTAGGAAAGATATATTTCAAAAAGAATCAATGTGTCTCTACTTTAAAATCCTAACACTTAGCTCTACAATATTCAGCAAAATATAAAATTCCAGTTTCAGAAGTACTCTTATTTTAAATTTTGGGAAAACAGAAAAATGTTTTCATAAGTTTAGCAAGTATTTGTCACTAAAAGCACATGTTTTAAAGATTATGTTACTTTTAGTGAGTAGTTATGATCAATCAAGCATTTAAAAAGACTAATAGCCCACATTTTGTGACTAGTTTTTTTTTTTCATTTAGAATTTAAAAAATCAACATTAAGATAATTAGAATGTCTCAATATACTCTTACCTGGACTGTAGCTTTCGGCATCCATGATAAAGCAATAAATATTTTCTCCTTAAAATTAAAACCGGCACAAGACATCAATACAAATGTAAAAGAAATTCTAACCAATAATGCCAAACTCACAGTACCAACAGAAACGCCTGCAACAGAAAAAGACAAACAGTATTTGGGAAGAAGTGGTTCTTTATGCCTAGAAATGTAATTTGCAAAAGTGCTGAAAACATTTTAGGACTACTGTCTCTCTATATCTTTATTAAGTAAAAATAATAATCATAAAAATAAAAATATGATTGAGGCTTCTATGTAAAGTAGAAGAGATAATCTGATAATGGAGGTATGATGAAAAGTAAGACAAATTATGTTTATTTAATTCTGAGCTAACAGGCTTTGAACTTTTACTATAAATGAAAGTATTTAGAAGGTGCTGCTGGTATCTAATATTTCCCTTCAGAAAAAAAATTCTACTTTCTATTTCCTCAGATCACTCAGGGAAGATATTCAAGGCTGTCTTTGGTTACAAAGACCATACAGGGTAAAGGAGGAAGAAATGCATATTACAACACAAGCTTCTGAAGGTCCTTGTATCATTCAAAGACATATTGTAAGTAAAAATAAAAATTACTCCATTTTCTTAAATATTTTTAAATCTTACATTTTTATGCCTCTAATCATTCTTACCAATAGCATTTGATTTAAGAGATGCAACAGATACTTCTGCTCCAACCAAACCAAACAGAACAGGTTGGAAAATATCCCATGCAATTCCAATGATTTTTTGGACTCTAACCTGTAGAAAAGAGTAATACATTTTCAGTTATTGTGACAAAAGAAAGTATTTGCATTTCAGACATGTAAAGGTTCTCAACATTTAATAAACTTAAGATATTTTATTTGTAGAAGAAATTTTAAAACAATAAAAATTAAATGAGTAGGTTAACTCTTATACAAACAGAACTTGACTAAAAGAAATTTACAATACAATAAAAATATTAGTTGGTAATTTTGTCATGGAACAAAAATGATATTATTTGGCAATTTTATCTTTGGAGTTCCTAACATGTTCTGATGGTGCAGTAAGAGTTCTACCTTTTGTTTGTGAGGCAACTGAGCGGGGATAGAACTACATCATGCCTGATGAGAACATATTCAAGCTCATTCAAATATTTAGTTCTCAAAAGTGAGTTGGGGAAGAGCTCTACTCAGTTATCCTGGGATCAAATCCCATGAAAATGAATCCTGATATGTCCTAAACTACTAGGAAAAAAATTCTGGTAATCTGTTAGGCCTGCTTCCAAATGACCCACATTAAAAACATGAACCAAACCCAAACAGGTCATAGATTCTCATTTGGTTGCCTCACTGACTTCCCTTTCTGAGAATTAATCCCTCCCAGTGCTGCTCCCACAATTACATGGTTACAGGAAATGCTCCCACTGACATAAAAGTACTCTGGCTCTTTTCTAGGAAGTTGGATGAAGAGATTTTAGTCTGTCTGTGTTTATCCTTTTTTTTTCCCCCAAACAGGAGGAGATTCATAAAACATTCATATCCTTTGAGGCAAAAACTATTTTCATAACTACTCCCCTTATGACTAGGTTTTCTGGTTGCTCTTTATAAAAGTAAGTTTGAAAAATGAAATAACAAAGGAAAACCAGTATTTCTGTCTTCTTCACAGCACATTATCCTATTTGTTACTTATTTAATCTTTAAAATCTATTTATTCTTTTCTGTTTGATTTTCTTTATCATGTAAAGAGATCAAGTAGTTTTCATTTTATTTGTAATTTATTATTAGCCATTTAATTTCTTTTATAATTATGACTTTATCAGAATACTAAGCAAATTGGGAACTTCTTAAGCTGATTCTAAAATTTATCTAAGAAAGAATATGGACAGGAACAGTTAAGAAATACTTTAAAAATAGGTACAATAAGAGGGAATCTTCTATACTAGATTCTGAGACATAAAATGACAATGATTTAGAGCACTATTAGCATAGGAATGGGTGTTTAAAGAGACTTCAGAAGTAAATATATATATATCAATGAATTATTGGATTAATCAATAAATAATTTGAAAAAATTGACTATGCAATTCACATGCATATATATATGTATACATGTATGTCTACAAATACATATTATTTATATATATATATTTATATATATATATATATTTATATATATATATATTTAAACACATGCATGTACATCCTTACCTCACAACATTCACAAAAATAAATTCCAGATGAAGTAGAGAATTAAATGCAATGCAAAACTACCAAAGTATTAAATGATAATATATAAGATGATATAATGTTCATAATCTCATGATCTTGGGTGAAAAAATCCTTCTTAAACAAGATAAATACCCAAAACCAAAAAGGAAAAACCGACAGACTTGACTATAGGAAATTTTACGGCCATACAAAAGACATCATAAATGAAGATAAGCAAAAATTAAACATGACATGTAGATAACAAAGAATTAGTAGCCCTAACATATAAAGAAACTTTATAAATTAGGAACAAAAAAGGCAAATAAACCAGTTAATAATGGGCAAAGAATATGAATAGGTAGTTACAAAAGAATATATGAATAGAAGCTTGTTGTCATTGTTTAGCTGCTAAGTCATGTCTAACTTTTTTGTGACCCATGGACTGTAGCCTGACAGGCTCTCCCCTGTCCATGGGATTTCCCAACCAAGAACACTGAAGTGAGTTATCATTTTCTTCTCCAGGGGATCTTCTTGACCTAGGGACTGAATCCATGTCTCCTGCATTGGCAGGTGGATTTTTCACCACTGAGCCACCAGGGAAGCCTGAATAGAAGTTTACTCTACTATTAACCAGAGAAATATAAAGAATAACAATGTTATAAAGTTTCTTACCCATTAGGTTGTTTAAAAAATCATTGGTAATATCCAAGATTGTTGATGAGTTTAGGTATTAAAGGACTCTCCTATACTGTTTGTAGTAAATAGTATAAATAAAATCTTTTAAGGGATAATTTGGCAATGTGCTAAATCACTTTAGTCGTGTCCAACTGTTTGTGACCCTATGGACTATAGCCCGCCAGGCTCCCCTGTTCATGGGATTCTCCAGGTAAGAATACTGGAGTGGGTTGCCATTTCCTACTCCAGGAGATCTTCCTTACCCAAGAATTGAACCTGCATGTCCCGCGTCTCCTGCACTGGCAGGCAGGTTCTTTACCACTAGTGCTACCTGGAAAGCCTAATTTGGCAGTAACCACCAAAATAGAAATGTACCATTTTTAAATTCAGTCATTCCATTTCTAGAAATCTAGTCCTACAGAAGTATTCATACATTTGCAAAACCACATATGAATAGGACTGTTCATGGTTGTGCTGTTTGTAATAAAAGATGGAAATGATCTACATGTCTACAAACAGAGGAGTGATTAGAGGAAACGACCTGGGATGGGGCTTTGACATTTGGGGGTGGTGAGGGGAAAGGAGCATTTTTCATTTTATTACATATGTGTAGCTTCTTTATTCTTAATATTTTATGAGCATAGTTTCATGTATTAATTGCATAATTAAAATTTTACTAAATACATCAATAAAAGTTATATAATCATATTTCATTAAACTTGGGAAAAAAACTAATGTGATCACTCAACTTCTGATTGCATTTTAGTGTATTTCCAGTTCCTTTTCTTGAATATTTTATTCCCTTGATTGATTCATCCACCTTGAAGATACAAACTTATGGAACATCTTCCAACTAGAATTAATATTTCTTTTTTAGTTTTTTTTCTTAATATACATATTTTATTGAAGAATAGTTGACTTACAATGTTTCAGGTGCACAGCAAGGTGATTCAGTTAGACATATACACATATATTATTTTTCAAATTATTTTCCATTATATGTTATTACAAGATATTGACTATAGTCTCCTGTGCTATACAGTAAGCCTTTGTTGCATATCTATCTTTTAATCAGAAATCTAGCATTCTATTCATATTAAGTCAAACAAGTGGAATCAAAATGTCATATATTTTCAATAGAGTAAGATTTCTTAAATGTCCATTTCAGATGTAAAAAATGCAGTTATTTTCTCTCTTAAAAAATGGTGTATAAAAATATTCACCTTTTCTTTGGACCAACCTGTCCCTGCAATGAAACTCAATACTAGTGTGCACAATCCTCCAGCTGTGTTCATATTAAATTTATGGCTGCCTAAGACAGCAGAAATACACATACTCAAAATTAAAAATGCTCTCTTCACTTCAAGGTTTTCCTAGAATTAGACAGATATTTGGAAATTAATTTATATTAAATATATAATAATTCTATTATCTATCATTTATTACTGACCCTTTGTTACCATGTCTTATATGCTATATCAAATAACATCTAAAGTTTGACTTTATTTCTCACCACATATTTTAGCAGACTTGTAACAAAATTTGCAATTATTAAGTTTCATTTTCTGCCACATCTCTGATACTACCGTCAGTAAAATGGTTATAATACTTTAACTGTAAGAAAAGAAGGAAAGAGAAGAGACCCATATAACCTGTAGTTCCACATAACATATCCAAAGAATTCTTAAAAATAAATATCTGAGTATCTTTTTAGCTGAAACAATAACTACAGGGATATTAAGATGGAAGTTACAGAAATCAAAGAGTAATGGCATATCTTTTAGGGTAGGAAAGAGTTGATAGTGTTGCTTTAGTCAAAGGGAGAGGAAGAGAATTTAAGTCAGAAAATATGCAGAAATAAGTGGGAATATGTTTCCCCCAAAATGTTCAATGGAATGTCTGAGGGAAAAAGATAAGGAAAAAAAGTCAGGAGTCAACAGGCAATTTGGTGAAGAAAGAAGTGGACGAAATGGAGAAGTTCCTCTGAATTAAGTATATTTTTCTGATATTCTCTGTCTAATCTGGAAGCAGAGACTTCAGATTAGGGCCACTGACCTGGATCAATGACAACTATGCTCAGTTTTAAGCAGAGAATAGGCACTGGAGGCTACTTTTGGAGACAGAAAACTAAAGATTAAATTATTTCATGGATCTTCCAAAAGTTCAAATTTTTGAGAGAAATGTCTAATACTGCACTTCCAAATACAGATTATATTTTATTTACCTGATCACTACTTGGAAAATGTCGAGCAAACATTCCCAAAACAATTCCTGAAAGCACACCAAGACCTGCATCCCGAAGAGGGGATAGGATGTTATTAGATATGTTACCTACAAGGGCACACAATAAGAAAAACATGTCAGAGAGAGGTATTTTCGTATAGACAACACAGTAGGAAATCAAATGTAGGTGATTCATAAAGAAAGGTATGTTATTACAGAATAAATACACAAAAATGGACCTTTGAAGTTCACACTCATGAAAACATGCATATTTATTTGATAAAAGTGTACTCTCCAATGATTTAATATGTATACACAACTCAGAAATGTTCAATGAATAAATAGGTCAGAAAACAAAGAAGAAACCACAATATGCTCCCCTTACACACCCAACCTAAGAGACCAGGTCAGGTAGAAGAAGGCAGAGACAGGCGGAGGAGTATCTCTGGCACCGAGCACATGGCTAATAATGTTGTTCTCTGCTATTCTATTATGGCAAATGATTTAAACATATTTATCCCAGGATCAATCCTAGAATATTCAAGGATCAACTTATTTTCCAGTACATTTTATATTTTATGGATACACGTAGTTTTATTGTAATACATTTTTAAAAATGATCTAGAGTCACACAAAAAAGTTTAGTTGTGCTCTGTGTATTCAGCTCAATACAAAAAGGTATTAAATATACATATTTTAGAAATATTTTCCCATTAAAAATAACAGAAGTGTAGGGTGACAATAGCATGATGGTAGAATGGGAACTCCAGAATCGTAATCCCCCACAGAGACACCAATTTAACACCAACATACAGTCTAAAAGGCTTTATGCTCATCTAAAAAGTTACAGCAAGAGAAAAGCAACTCATCACATAAAAGAGAATGCCCATAAAATTATCAGAGGCTTACAGAGCAGAAGAGCTTCCCTGGTGGCTCAGAAGGTAAAAAAATCTGCCTCCAATGCAGGAGACCTGGGTTTGATCCCTGGGTTGGGGAAATTCCCTGGAAAAGGAAATGGCAACCCACTCCAGTATTCTTGCCTAGAGAATTCCATGGACAAGAGGAGCCTACCAGGCTACAGTCCATGGGGTCACAAAGGGTCACGCACAACTGAGCAACGAACACTTTACACGGCAGAAACCTTATAGGTCAGAGGAAGGCAGGATGACATGTTTAAAATGTTGAAAGAAAAAAATGCCAACCAAGAATAATATCCCACAAAACTGTCCTCCAAAGTGAACGTGAAATTAAGACTTCCCCAGATAAACAAAGCTTGATGGAGTTCATCACCACCCTACCTGCCTAATAAGAAATCTTAAAGGGAATCCTTCAAGTGTAAATAAAAAGATGTTAGCAACACACAGAACTACCACAAAACTGCACTCATCTCACACACTAGCAAAGTAATGCTCAAAACTCTCCAAGCCAGGCTTGGAGAACCATGAACTTCCAGATGTTCAAGTTGGATTTAAAAAAGGCAGAGGAACAGAGATCAAATTGTCAACATCTGTTGGATCACTGAAAAAGCGAGAGAGTTCCAGAAAAACATCTACTTCTGCTTTATTGACTATGCCACAGCCTTTGACTGTGTGGATCACAGCAAACTATGGAAAATTCTTAAAGAGATGATAATACCAGACCACCATACCTGCCTCCTGAGAAATTTGTATGCAGGTCAAGAACAACAGTTAGAACTGGACATGGAACAACAGACTGGTTCCAAATAGGAAAAGGAGTACATCAAGGCTGTACATCATGAGAAATGCTGGACTGGATGAAGCACAAGCTGAAATCAAGATAGCCGGGAGAAATATCAATAACCTCAGATATGCAGATGACACCACACTTATGGCAGAAAGTGAAGAACTAAAGAGCCTCTTGATGAAAGTGAAAGAAGAGAGTGAAAAGGTTGACTTAAAACTCAATATTCAGAAAAGTAAGATCTTGGCATTTGGTCCCATCACTTCATGGCAAACAGATGGGGAAACAGTGGCAGACTTTATTTTATTGGGCTCCAAAATCACTGCAGATGGTGACAGTAGTCATGAAATTAAAAGATGCTTACTCCTTGGAAGGAAAGTTATGACCAACGTAGGCAGCATATTAAAAAGCAGAGACATTACTTTGCCAACAAAGGTCTGTCTAGTCAAGGCTATGGTTTTTTCGGTAGTCATGTATGGATCTGAGAGTTGGACTATAAAGAAGGCTGAGTGCCGAACTGATGCTTTTGAACTGAGGTGTTGGAGAAGACTCTTGAGAGTGCCTTGGACTGCAAGGAGATCCAACCAGTCCATCCTAAAGGAAATCAGTCCTGAATATTCATTGGAAGAACTGATGCTGAAGCTGAAATTCCAATACTTTGGTGACCTGATGCGAAGAACTGACTCATTTGAAAAGACCCTGATGCTGGGAAAAGATTGAAGGTGGGAGGAGAAGGGGATGACAGAAGATGAGATGGTTGGATGGCAACACCGACTCAATGGACATGAGTTTGAGTAAGCTCCAGGAGTTGGTGATGAGCAGTCCATGGGGTCACAAAGAGTTGGACATGACTTAGTGACTGAACTGAACACAAGAGCATGTAAATATAAACCTCCAGTAAAGTTAAATAGATAGATGAATTAGGAATCCAGTAATAGTGTAATGGTGGTGAGGAAATCACTTTTAATTCTGTTAGAGAACTGAAGACAGAAGCACAAAACATAACTAACGATAAAATTATGTTAATGTATATACAATAAAATGTGTAATTTGTGACACTGGTAACATAAGGTGAGGAGGGTGAGAGAGGAGTAGTAAAGTAGATTTTTTGTATGCAACTTAAGTCACTATTATTTTAAACATTGCTATAACTTTAACTATGGAAAAACATGCAAATGGTACCTCAAAGAGAGCAGGGGCAGTCACACTTTTACCAGACAAGACAGACTTTAGGTCAAATACTGTCACAAGAAATAAAGATAGGATACTGCATAATGGTAAAAGGGCCAATTGACTCAGAAGGTAAAGTGAGATCTCAATATCCACCAAATTCCAAAATATAGATGTTCTAAAGATCTAACGTATATAATAAAACTTAAAGAGTTCTTAAAATTTCAAGAGACACTTTACACAGTCATGTGGTGGAAGAGGATTTTTTTAAGCATGTACCTTCTTGGTTTTCACTTTCTGGTCTTCTTCAAATTAGGTTAGGTCTCCTGTATCCTGTTCCCCTAGCATCTTATACTATGTAATATTTATTCCACCTTTAATTACTTGTTTAAGATAATTTCCTTGAGAACACAGGCTACATGGCCTTTTCTGTTTGCTGTGTTGGGAGGCAGTACAGAATAGTACTTAAAAGTGTGGGTCTGAGGTCAGACTGCCAGATTTCCATATAGGTTCCCTACTTATTGGATCTCCGACTTTGAGCAAGTTACTTAATCTCTGTTCCTTAGTTTCCTTATCAGTAAAATGAGCATAGCACTGTTGTGATTATTGAGCTGAAACATGTACAGAATTTACAGCAAGTACCAAGCAATTGCTCAATAAAAACTAATACTGTTTTTTACTGTTTATCCTCAGCATTTGATACAGTAGCTGGTACAATGGAAGAGGAGCACAAAAAATATTTTTTGAAAGAATGACTGATATCAGTCATGAAGGAAAAGATTGCCAGATCTAACAACAGTAATAATATGGATTATAAAATTAATTGGAATATTTGGTTATTAAAAGGAAATCACTTGTATTAAGTAGTGCTATCTTAAACCATTGAAATTCCTTTTCTGGTCTAGAATGAGCTTTCCATAAAGAATAAAAACATGTTAAATTGAAAAGTCTTCACCAATAGATGAAGGAAAGCTAGAAAATTTGTTTAAAGAATAAAGAAAGCACTGAATTATATGGTAGCTGTTTTGTTTACCTGAGGAGAAAACTATGCTGAAGCATGCATTGAATCCAGAGATAGCCACGATGTCATCCAAACTGCTGGCAGCTATTAATAAGGTTGGAATGCCTTTCTCAATACCATATCCCTTTTCTTGCAAATGTAGCATAGAAGGGACAACAACAGCAGGAGAAACTGCACCGACTACAAAACTGAGAGAAAAAGCTTTGAAAACCAATTTTAAAACATCCTTTTAATGAAACAGTGCCTTACAGTAAATTGTACAACCAATATATTAATCTTTACGATGACTTTGAAAGTAAAAATTCTGCTTTTGAGTAAATGTCATTTAACAATGGAAAATATTCCCCAGTGGCTCAGTGATAAAGAATCTTCCTGCAATGCAGGAGACGCAGGAGATGTGGGCTCGATCCCTGGGTCTGGAAGATCCCCTGGAAGAGGAAACGGCCACCCACCCAGTATTCTTGCTGGGAAAATCCCACGGACAGAGGAGCCTGGCAGACTATAGTCCACAGGGTCGCAAAGAGTTAGACATGACTGAGCACACACACAAATACTCACATATTCTTTAGTGCTGTTAAAATTTTACAGAAATTTGTTCAAGATGTTAGGTCAAGCACAAATTGCTGCCCCTTCCTCCATCTCAAAAACATTTGAAATAAAGATATGAAAATAATAGGAAAGTCCATAAGCTAGCTAGAAAACAAAACGGGAATCCTCAGTGGACAAGAAACTAAGTGTATCCCAGGAAGATAAGAGACAGTTGGTTTAGGGTTGAACAAGGAAACCATAAGCCAAAATGCATATAAGACTGCTATAGAAGATATGGTGTATTCTAAAAATGCCCCAAACCCAGAAATGGCAGATGTGGGGAGTAGGAGGGACCTCTGAAGAAATCAAATGGTGATTATGTAGAGTACTGCTATAAGAATGGTCGGTAAGATGTAGTCTCCACACCACTTCTATCTCTTGAACAAGTCAGTAAGGAAGATATCTGTCCAAAAGAAGGAATAGTATGAGCACCTAAGTTACAAAGGCAAATGGGAAAATTTCTGGGGTGGCTGATGACACCTGTGAGGAATGGAGAAATTCCTGCTCAGAATCCTTTGTTGGTGCATCCCATCTACAACCCTGCCTTGTCTCTTCCACTTTCACCTCCTCAGTGCTGCAGTAACTGTGTGGAGTGATGCATGTGGTCCCCGCCAGAACCCTCCAGTCAGGCCAGTGCACACACTCCCCAGCTGCTGCATGTTGACTCCTCACCGCTAGCACCGGCAGCTTTGTGGGAGCCTTGCACTGCTAACAGAAGCTTACCTACTAATGCTAAGGAGAGTCCGCTTCCCCGTTCCAGACAGCCTCTGTCAGTGACCAACTGATGTGAGGGTCTAACAGTTCAGTTCCTTTGCCTCTGGCTGTACAACCTTCCTGGTTTACAGACAAGATTTCCTGAGGGACTCAGGAAGAACCTAGAATTCTCTGAAAAAACATATTTGCCTAATTCAGTGGTTCCTGAACTTTACCGCACATTGGAACCACCTGGTCTACTATTTATCTGTTGCTGCTTAACAAATCATGCCCAAATTTAGAAGCTTAAAACAACACATATTTATTAACTCACAACTTCTGTGGGTCAGCAATCTGGGTATGAATACCTCTTCCTACTCAAGGTCTCTCATGAGGTGGGTGGGAGAAGCCCTGATTCCAAGTTTATTCACATGGTTGTTGATAGGTCTTCAGTCTCTTGCCTTGGGGGCTTCTCCATAGGGCTGCACCCAACATGGCAGCTTTACTTCCCCCCAAGAAAGCGATTAAAGAGAGTGCAAGAGAGAACAAGGAAGACAGAAGCCACCGTCTTCTTATGACCTAATCATAAAAGTAATATCCTATCACTTCTTCAGTATTCCATTGATTAGAAGCAAGTCAGTAAGTTCAGCCCAAATTTAGGAAGACAGTATTACACAAAGGTTTAAATATCAGAAAGCAGTGATATCTGAGAGTGATCTTACCATTTACATGGGGATTAAAAAAAATGCTGATGCCTGGGTCACATTCTAAGACATTCTGATCTGATTTAGGATGGAGTCTGATCTGAATGCTGGGATACTGTAAAGTTTTTTTAATTGTAAAAAATACATAATATAAAATTAAACTTCTTAGCTATTTTTAAGTGTACAGTTCAGTACTAATGATATTCACATTGTTGTTTAACTTAGAACATTTTCATCTTGTAAAACGTTTTGAAACTCTAACTGAACAGTACCCTTTCCCCTCTCACCCAAGCCCCTGACAACCACCATTCTATTTTCTGTTAAGATGACTCTGAAGACTCCAGATACATCAGTGGAATCGTACAGCACTTGTCCTGACTTACTTCACCCAACATAGTATCTTCAAGGTTTATCCATGCTGTAGAATGTGACAGGATTTCCTCTTTCACAGCTGAGTGATATTCCTCTGTGTGTGTGTGTGTGTGTGTGTGTATTTTCTTTATCCATTCATCTGTCCATGGATATTTGAGCTGCCTCTACCTCTTGGCTACTGTGAATTATGTTGCAATGAATGTGAGTGTGCAAGTATCTCTTTGATATCCTACTTCCAGTTCTTCGGGATATATACCCGAAAGTGGCATTGCTGGATTAAATGGTAGTTTTACTTTAAGTGTTTTGAGAAACCTCCAAACTATTTTCCACAGCAATGGTCCTTTTTGTATACCCAATAGCATTGTATGAATATTCCCGTTTCTCCATGTCTGTGTCAATGCTTGTTATTTTCTAGTTTTTTTTTTTTTAATAGTAAGCATCCTAATGAGTATGAGGTGTTATTTCCTTGTGGCTTTTATTTGCCTTTCTCTAATGATTATAAATTGGAGAAGGAAATGGCAACCCACTCCAGTGTTCTTGCCTGGAGAATCCCAGGGACGGGGGAGCCTGGTGGGCTGCCGTCTATGGGGTCGTAAAGAGTTGGACACGACTGAGGCGACTTAGCAGCAGCAGCAGTAGCAGCAGCAATGATTATAAATGTTGAGTACTTTCATACACTTATTGGCTACTTGTATATCTTCTTTGTAGAAATGTCTATGTAAGTTTTTTGCCCATTATATAGTCAGGTTTTTAAAATTTGCTGAGTTATAGGGTGTTTTTTTTTTTTACATATTTTGAATATTGATCTCTTTCCAGATATATGGTTTATAATTATTTTCTCCTATTCTGTGTGCTGCCTTTTCATTTTGTTTTCTTTGCATGCAAAAATTTTTAAGTTTCATGCAGTTCCATCTATTTTCACTTTTGTTGCCTGTGCTGTTAGTGTCATATCCAAGAACTCATTGCCAAATTCAATGTCATGAAGTTTTTACATATGGTATGCTAGATATAATATTCTTGGTTGGCTGGGGTTTTTTTCTTTTTTTCTCTCTCTTTTAGCATGTTGAACATGTCATCCCATTCCCTTCTGGCTTACAAGGTTTCCATTGAGAAATTCAGTTATTATCTTACAGGAGTTCTTGCTTTTCTTTCTTTGTTTTTAAGATTCTCACTTGCTGTGATTTTTGACAGCTTGAGTAGATCTCTCAGTGAAGGTCTCTTTGGTTTTATTTTAGTGGGAGATTTTTGATCATTTTGCATTTGTATGTCCATTTCCTTCCTCAGATTTGAAGGTTTGGATTACTATTTCTTCAAATAGGCTTTCAAACCATTTATTTCTCTCTTCTCTTTCTGAATCTCCTGTAATATGTAATTGGCCCATTAAATGGCTTCCCGCAAGTCCCTTAGGATCTCTTTACTCTCCTTGTTTTTCATTGTGCTCCTCTGATTCTGTAATTTCAAATAACCTATCTTCAAGTTCACAGATTCTTTTTTCTGTCTGACTTAGTCTACAGTTGATCTCCTGTAGTCAATGTCTCATTTAATTGTATTATTCTACAGGTCCAGAATTTATTTTTGGTTCTTTCTTTTTTTTACAGTTTCTATGTGTTTGTTGGTATTCTCACTTTGTTCATGCATTATTTTCCTGATTTCTTTTAGATGTTTGTGACATCTTTGAGCTCACTAGGCCTCTTTATGATAGTTATTTTGAATTCTTTGTTGAGTAACTGATACATTTCTATTTGTTTAAGGCTGGTGTCTGGAGTTTTATTTTGTTCCTTTGATTGAGCCCTAATTCCCAGTTGCTTTGTATGTCTTGTTATCTTTTACTGAAATTTGGGTTTTGAAGAAACAGCCACCTCTCCTGGTCTTTATGGATTTCATCACTAGGGAAAGACCTTCACCAATCAGCCCAGCTAAAGACTCTGGAAGTCTCTCAAACTTTTCTGGAATGTGCCTTCTCTGGGCTTTGGTGCATTATCTCCAGCTACACTTTGGCCTTTTCCTACTCCAGAGTATCCCAAGTGTCTATTAGCAGTACTGCAATATCTCTGGAGTAGAGCAATGCACAGCACTTAACCTTTGTCCTCAGTGGACCTCAGGCATCTAAAATGTGCCACTCTCTTTTCTGTCAGTGCTCCAAGTCAGATGAGACAGAAACCAGTCCCTTGGTAGCCTCTTAAAAAGCCAGAATGCAAAAAAAAAAAAAAAAAAAAAAAAAGCCAGAATGCAGAACAAATGTCCCAGCTTTTTCTTTTCCTCCTGAGGGAGAAGCCAAATGTTGGGTGTTTCCTCCTGATTGCCCCTTGCTATGCAAGAGGGGCATGGGGTATGATGGTTAAGTGCAATATAATGTTCTAATTGCTCCAATGTGCCTCTTTTTGGCCTTGGGCTTGCATGGAATGCTGCAACCTCTCAAGTGGTTTCTGGAGTTACATAAAGGTAATCTGGTCCTCACATTGTTATGATAGTGTCTTCATGTGGGAAACTGAGGCTGGAGTTTCTCATTCTGCCATCTTCCCAACATCACTCCTCTACTTACTCAGATTTTCAAAAGCTACCCAGGTGATTTTGATGAGTAGCAAAGTTTTGGAACCACTGACTTTTCCGACACTCCTATCTGGCTTTCTTTATTCAGAAGTTTCTACTGAGAGCTCCCTTAATAAATAATCTGCATAATAATCTTAGTGAATTCTCTGGCAATCCTGTGGTTAGGACTCGGTGCTTTCTTTTGCTGTGGTGGCCTGTGTTCAATACCTGGTTGGAGAACTAAGATCCTGAAAGCCACGTGGTACAACTTAAAAAAAAATCTTAATCTCAGTTTGATCTTCTAAGGACACTTGCTTGGTAGCATGAGTGGCCTATTCTCTACAAGAAGGCAACAGCCAACAGGTAAAATAATCACAAGTTAATAGTAAGTTTCAACTTAAAAAATTAGTGCCCATTAAATTATCACCAACTATTTGGGGGAAGCCAATACTTTGAATTGAGGCACTGTATTCATTAAATAGAAAAATTGACACCTGAGGAAAGAGATATACTAAACAGTGAACAACAAGAACGTGACTTCAGAATAACTATAAATATCCTCAGAATCACAAAAGTACACTGTATCTGTTCATAACATTTAACTATTATTCTTAGAAATTAATTGTCAAAATTAAATAAATAAATAGGTGATACAGACATAATAGTAGAGTGATGGAAAAGGCTAGAGAACTAAGCAGAGAAAATTTTCCAGTGTGTACTGCAAAGGCAAATAGATGAACAGTATAAAGAAAAACTTAATAGATATGGAGGAGGGAGTTACAAAAGGACAAAATAAAAGAGAACTGAGGAGAGATAAAAGATATATTCAAGACCTGGACAAAAAATAACAGTCCTTTGATTGATTGAGAGATTCCACTAAACATTGAGTAGATCAAAATTTTAAGAGAGTCACCTAAGCATATCAAAAAATTGTTAATTTAGTTAGAAAATGCCCTTATCTTTTAGAAATGCATACTGGGATCCACTGGAATGGGTAAGTGGAGGCAAAAATTAAATGGATTGAAAAATGAAAACAAGTTCAAGATATAGAGATAGTAATCATAGACTATTATTCTGAAGAACTTGGACATAAAAAGAAATAGATAATAGATAATGATAGATGGGAACAGGATCTAGGAAAATAGTGTTTGCTTGTTTTTGTTATAATATCTACATAAAATATTTTTCATATATATAAAATACATATGCTATACATAATATATACATATTATATATATGTGCATATATAGTGTACAATGAAAAGGCCATTAGATTAATTAAAAAATAGAGATAGGGACTTTCCTGGTGGTCCGGTGGTTAGAAATCCATCTGCCAATGCAGGGGACGAGGGCTTGAATTCTGGTCTCGGAAGATCCCAAATGCCTGTGCAACTAAGCCTGTGCAACACAACTACTGAGGCTGCGTGCCTCTACTACTGAAGCCCACACACTTAGAGCCTGTTTTCTGCAATAAGAGAAACCACAGCAATGAAGCCTGTGCACTACAACTAGAGATCAGTCCCCAGTCACTGTAACGAGAAAGACTACACACAGCAAGGAAGACCCAGCAAAGCCAAAAAATAAAAATTTAAAAAACAGGGCTTCTCTGTTGGCTCGATGGTAAAGAATCCATCTGCCAATGCAGGTGACATGGGTTTGATCCCTGGTCTGGAAGGTCCCACATGCCACGGAGCAACTAAGCCCATGCACCAGAGCTACTGTGCCTGTGCTCGAGAGCCCGAGAACCACAGCTAAGGAAGCCTGTTCGCTGCAGAGCCTGTGCTCGGCAACAAGAGAAGCCACCACAATAAGCCTGTTCACTGCAACTAGAGAGTAGCCTCTGCTCTCCACAACTAGAGAAAAACCCACACAGCAATGAAGATCCAGCACAACAAAAAAAATAAATAAAAAACTGGAGATAGATACAATATAGGAGAAAAAATAAACTGATAAAGTGAATTATCTTAGCATTAAGCACTTAGGAACTATGAATATTTGTCAAGGATATAGTAGATTTAGGACATGGTTCTATTTCTGACCAACTGATTTCCAAGATTCTCTACCACAGTAAAAAGAATTTTAATGATAAACTTTTCTATACAATATTCTGAATATTTCAATAACCAAGCATTTTAACTGGATATTTTCATAGAGAAAAATGAGAAAAAGTTACCCCAACAGAAATGCCCACTGCCAGGGAAAATTCATAAGGAAGTGGGAAATAACAGCAGTTGAACAAGCCTCCATTAGACATGGACCCATAGACAATCTTATACAAACTCGCTTCAAATTCTTCAAAGCCTGAAATATAAACATAGTCACACTTAGACAAGCTTGTAGTGGCCAATAAGAAAATTATTTTAAGCAATATTGAATTATATAGTCTTTTTTGAGTGATAATCTTATTAAATTAAATTTCCCAGATATTCCATATGCTTTAAATGCTAATACAGCTCATTTTATATGTCATCATATATTGGATTATAAACTATTTCATATTTTATAAAATGCTGTTCTATTTTAATTATTATAATGACTCAGTTTTCTGTGATTAAATAAATATTTCTACCTTCCTTAATCTTCCTAGTAAATAGTATAATGAAAGTATCCTATAGGTTTGTTTCCATCAGTTAACTTTTAGGGATGAATTGTGTGATTAGTGTCATAATTATAACATGCCAAAGGAGAAAATCACATAAAAAATGCATAATTAACTAAAAGGGAAAATTTTCAAATTTTCTCATTGGTTCAAATTTTTTACTGGATAATATAATAACTTAACACTGTCTATAATTATTTATGCTCTTCAAATACTTTCACCAATCTTATATATTTGCCACATTTGTTATATTCTGAATAGCTGTTATATTTATGAATATCCATCTTTAAAAAACTAATTTATGATTCCTTGATAGTAATATTTTAAGAAATATCTTAAAAGATTAGCTTTTATAAAAGTATAATCAGGAACATACTTCTGTGGGAAAAATTCATGAAAGAATAATATTATTGAAATTCATAATCATTCTGAAAAAACAAAACAGAAGCAATAAACTTTTATGGGATGACCTTATCCTCTGTTAACTGAAAAGTAAAGAGCTCTCCACAGAAGAGCCACAACTCCAAAATAATACAAATGCTGCATAAGGGACATCTATCTCTATGTAAATAATTAAAGACTATTACTAATAGAGATCTTACATCACACTGATTTCTTTTCATATTAGTAATATGATCAGAAGTAGACACTAAGGTGCCAATATTTCTGCAAAATCTTGTTTTTTGTCTTAGTTTTGCTCTACCTGAAACAACTATAAGAAAAATTCTGCCTATTTTTCTTTTCCAGCAGCCTCTAATATTTAAAATAACCAAATTCAAAGTGTAATTGGAAATCTACCTCTGGATCGAGTCCAAGCCCAGCTCGCACTAGAATAATGGTAAGGGCAGTATTTCTTAAAGTTGAAGACAGTTCATTACTAATATAGGTGACATCACTGAGGAATGGAACATTCCTAACGACAAAACCAGCCAGTAACATCCCTTAGAAGAAAAAAATAAACCATGTCTGATTCAGTTCATTTTTCTAAGACAGAAAACAGAAATGTTTAATATCCCTTCTTCAAATACACTGTATCTCTCATTACTTTGGTGAAGGATAGGTTACATACAAGTAGAGGAGACAGCATAAATAAAGGAATGGAGATAAGAAATGATATATCTCAATGGTGTGAAACAAGTAATTCACTATTGAAGGAACATTAAGGACTAGTTGGGAGTGGGGAATGGGCAGGAGGGGCCAGATCATGGAAAGCTTCCTTTACTCCCTACTTTTCCCAGTTTTGGCAGAGTAAAGCACTGTGGGTAAGTTTTAGGCAGGAAGTGAGATAACGAGTGTTGCATTGTCTATGTGATGGTATTGGTAAATGAGATAGACATAAAACTAAGGAGGGACCAAAAAAAGGCTCTGCCATAGTTCATGGAATGGTTAGAAACTAATAGCCTGAGCTAGGACTAGAGTGGACGCTTTGGAGAAGTGGAAAAGAGATCCAGTAAATACTTGTGAGGTGCTGAAGGGTGTTATGAACACAGAAAGGGTGTTAGAGATAAGATGGAGTGATTACCTCTTTTGGCAGTAACTAAATATTAGAATGTATTGAATACTTAGAAGATTTAACACACCTCTAAAAGAAGTTTTTCTGTTAATTTTCCTCTTGTCTACCTGGAGAGTTACATAACAATGGTGATGAAGAAATAGGGTGTAACATTGTTTAGGCAGATGATACACCAATTAATATACATAGTGGAGATGCCCAAGGAACTCGCCCAAGAACTATAAAACATATTGGTGCCCTAGTCACAATAGTATTTGAATCTTGTAATTGTATTTGAGGGCTTCCCAGGTGGCTCAGTGGTAAAGAATACATCTGCCAATCAGGAGACACAGGTTTGATCCCAGGGGTGGGAAGATCCCCTGCAGTAGGAAATGGCAAGCCACTCCAGTATTCTTGCCTGGGGAAATCCCCTGGACAGAGAGGACTTGTGGGCTATAGCCCATGGGACTGCAAAGAGTTGATTGTGACTTAGTGACTGAACAACAACAAATTTTATTTGAATTAGGTTATCCATAGAAAAATTCAGTTTCTTTCAAATTTTTCCTTTTCTATAAAACATGTAAAAGTTAATTTAAAAATGTCCTATTAAATGATAAAGCAACAACAATCACATACTGAGCATATTTAAATTATTTAAAAATATATTTCAGGAAAAATCTGTGTATAGAGAATAAATACTTCTATATATACACATATATAGTAAGTACACATATAAAAAAGCTATGTAGATCATATTACATTGAAATAGTTCTAAATTATATCTACTCTGACTAGAATATAGTCATAATTTACATATAGTCAATGACAAATAAAAGCTAATTATTCACTTACCAAGGAGAGGAGGAATTTTAGGCACTGAAGGTACTTTAATGATTTCCAAAAGTTTCCCCCCAATAAGGGCACAATAAAAGATAATTAACAGTCCAAATAAACCACCATTAGGAAGAACTTCAGGGCCTGAGAATACCCAGGCTACACACCATATCATAAAAAGTATACTTCCTGAAATATAAAAAAGCACATATCGATTTATCTATCTAGACATAGATAATATGCAATAAGACACGAATCATATATTACAAAGTCTTTGTCAACTTAAAAGAAGTATTTTTATTCAGAAATATTTTAAAACTATAAGTGAATACTTAAAAGTGATAAACTTTCTTATATCACTTTTTTAAAATGTCATAGCAATATGATGAGGTTTACTTCATTTTATATTTTACAGTAGTTTTTTCACAAGGAATAAAGTGATTGGTCATAATATGAATTCTCAAATTTATTGAAGCTCATAGTGGCAGGGTGGCACATTTTTTAATGGCAGCAAACTAAATATCTATATTGAATGGATAACTTGGTGTTTGATACAAATTATTAAAGGGGATAATAAGTGAGGTCTGATGGCTGGGCTCCTCTGGTGGCTCAGACAGTAAAGAATCCACCTGCAATGCAGGAGACCCAGCTTTGATCCCTGGGTCAGGAAGATTCCCCTGGAGGAGGAAATGCCAATCCACTCCAGTATTCTTGCCTGGAGAACCCCAAGGACAGAGGAGCCAAGTGGGCCACAGTCCTTAGGGTCGCAAAGAGTCCGACAAGTTTAGCTCTCATGGATCCTTTCTTTTAGGCAGTTACTTGAGGATGTACACTAACAAAACCAGGAGGAAACCAGCAAAGGTGAAAGATTTTAAACTTGGAAACAGGGGACTGAAATCAGGAGAGCACTGAAAGCTCTAGAATACAGTCTTCCACAGACCTAGAAAACCACCACAAAGGGAAAGAGAAAAATGAAGGTCTCTGGGAGGAAAGTCTCCAAGAATAAGGAGGAATGTTTTAAAGTTTACAAAACTATGGAACAAATCAGTGGTTGCCAGTGGATTCCAGGATGAAGGAGGAATGAATAAGTAGAGCACAGGAAAATTTTAGAGCACTGAAACTATTATGTATGCATATCATTAAATACGTATGTTAAAACCCAAAGAATGTGTAATATAAAGAGTTAGGGTTAGGGTTAGGGTTATAAGTCATGTGAAGGTAATGTATAGCATGGTGACTACAGTTAGTCACACTGTATTGCATTTTTGAAAACTGCTAAGAGAATAGACCTTAAAAGTTTTCATCCCAAGAAAAAAATATTTTAATCATGTGCGATAGATGTATTATGGTGATCATTTTGCAATATGTACAAATATCAAATCACTGTTATGCACCTGAAACTAATCTAATGTTATATGTTAAATGTACTTCAATTTTTAGACATTTTCAGACAAATAAAAGCTGAAAGAATTAACTGCTAGAATAACTACACAACAAGAAATACTAAAGGAAGGTTTTTAGGCTGAATGTAAAAAAAAAACACATGGAAGCTCAGATTGCCAGAAAGAAATGTAGAGAATCAGAAAATATGTGGAAAAATATAAGGAACTGTTTCAACTTAAAAAAAGAAAAAGACTTTTGCCTTTTTAAGAAAAAATAATACAAATGTAGAAGTAAAATATATGATAAATCTAGTACAAGAGCAGAAGTGCAGTTAAGTTTAGTCACTCAGTCGTGTCCGACTCTTTGCGATCCCATGAACCATAGCACGCCAGGCCTCCCTGTCCATTGCCAACTCCAGGAGTTTACCCAAACCCATGTCCACTGAGTCGGTGTTGCCATCCAACCGTCTCATCCTCTGTCATCCCCTTCTCCTCCTGCCCTCAATATTTCCCAGCATCAGGGTCTTTTCCAATGAGTCAGCTCTTTGCATCAGGTGGCCAAAGTATTGGAGTTTCAGCTTCAGCATCAGTCCTTCCAATGAACACTTTAGGATGGACTGGTTGGATCTCCTTGCAGTCCAAGGGACTCTCAAGAGTCTCCTCCAACACCACAGTTCAAAAGCATCAATTCTTCTGCACTCAGCTTTCTTTATAGTCCAACTCTCACATCCATACATAACTGCTGGAAAAATCATAGCTTTAACTAGACGGACCTTTGTTGACAAAGTTAAAAAGTCTCTGCTTTTTAATATGCTATCTAGGTTGGTCATTACTTTTCTTCCAAGAAGTAAGCATCTTTTAATATCATGTCTGCAATCACCATCCGCAGAGCCCCCAAAAATAAAGTCTGCCACTGTTTCCACTGTTTCTCCATCTATTTCCCATGAAGTGATGGGACCAGATACCATGATCTTAGTTTTCTGAATGTTGAGATTTAAGCCAACTTTTTCACTCCTCTCTTTCACTTTCATCAAGAGGCTCTTTAGTTCTTCACTTTCTGCCATAAGGGTGGTGTCATCTGCATATCTGAGGTTATTGATATTTCTCCCGGCAATCTTGACTCCAGCTTGTGCTTCTTCCAGCCCAGCGTTTTTCATGATGTACTCTGCATACAAGTTAAATAAGCAGGATGACAATATACTCCTTTTCCTATTTGGAACCAGTCTGTTGTTTCATGTGCAGTTCTAACTGTTGCTTCCTGACTTGCATACTGGTTTCTCAAGAGGCAGGTCAGGTGGTCTGGTATTCCCACCTCTATCAGAATTTTCCACATTTATTGTGATCCACACAGTCAAAAGCTTTGGCATAGTCCATAAAGCAGAAATAGATGTTTTTCTGGAACTGGACAGAGGTTCATGACATTGTACAGGAGACAGGGATCAAGGCCATCCCCAAGGAAAAGAAATACAAAAAGGCAAAATGGCTGAGGAGGCCTTACAAATAGCTCTGAAAAGAAGAGAAGCGAAAGGCAAAGGAGAAAAGGAAAGATATTCCCATTTGAATGCAGAGTTCCAAAGAATAGCCAGGAGAGATAAGAAAGCCTTCCTTAGCAATCAATGCAAAGAAATAGACAAAAACAACAGAATGGGAAAGACTAGCGATCCCTTCAAGAAAATTAGAGATACCAAGGGAATATTTCATGCAAAGACGGACTCAATAAAGGACAGAAATGGTATGGACCTAACAGAAGCAGAAGATAGTAAGAAGAGGTGGCAAGAATACCCAGAAGAACTGTACAAAAAAGATCTTCACAACCCAGATAATCACGATGGTATGATCACTCACCTAGAGCCACACATCCTGGAATGTGAGGTCAAGAGGGCCTTAGGAAGCACCACTACAAACAAAGCTAGTGGAGGTGATGAAATTCCAGTTGAGTTATTTCAAATGCTAAAAGATGATGCTGTCAAAGTGCTACACTCAATGTCAGCAAATCTGGAAAACTCAGCAGTGGCCACAGGACTGGAAAAGGTCAGTTTTCATTCCAATCCCAAAGAAAGGCAATGCCAAAGAATGCTCAAACTACCGCACACTTGCACTCATCTCATACACTAGTAAAGTAATGCTCAAAATTCTCCAAGCCAGGCTTCAGCAATACGTGATCCGTGAACTTCCAGATGTTCAAGCTGGTTTTAGAAAAGGCAGAGGAACCAGAGGTCAAACTGCCAACATCCACTGGATCATCAAAAAAAGCAAGAGAGTTCCAGAACAACATCTATTTCTGCCTTATTGACTATGCTAAAGAGCAGAAGAGGGATCAGTAAAGTCATATTGTGCAAAGCTCTTTTATATTATCTTCATCTGAGTGATGGCTTTCCAGTGTATATATTTGTCTACATTCATGGAGCTGTGTACACTTCCAAGATCCGTGCACTTTCTGGTATGTTGACTATAATTCAGTAAAGTACCATTAACAAGAAAAAGTTTATAAGATGATGGAGAGTTTGGAAGAAACAGGAGTATGATACTGACAAGGAGATTAAGTCTTAGCACCCCCCAAAACTCTGGCAGTTATGGACAAAGCTGTTATAAACATCTGTGTGCAGGTTTTTGTGGGCAAAATGTTTCAGCCCATTTGTGTAAAAAATACCAAGGAGAGTGACTGCTGAATCATATAGAGTATATCAAGTTTTGTAAAAAACTGCCAAACTGTCTTTCAAACTGGCTGCACCATTTTGTGTTCTTAGTTCCTGTAGTTCTGTCTCCTCACCAGCATATGGTGTCAATGTTTTGGATTTCTGACCATTCTAATGGATGTATAGTGGTATTTTATTGTTGTAATTTGCAATTCAGTATTGACATACGATGTTGGGAACATTATTACATGGTTATTTGCCATCTGTATATTTTCTTCAATGATGTGCCTTTTAAGATCTTTTGCCCTTTTTAATCAGGTTGTCTGTTTTCTTATTATTGAGTTTTAAAAGTTCTTGGTATATTTTATTTACAAATAGTAAATGCTAGAGAGGCTGTGGAGAAGAAAAAACCCTTCTACACTGTTAGTGGGAATGCAAACTGGTACAGCCACTACGGAGAACAGTATGGAGGTTCCTTAAAAAACTAAAAACAGAGCTAGCATACAATCCAGCCATCCCACCCCTAGGCATATATCTAGAGAAAACCATAACTGAAAAGATACATACACCACAATGTTCACTGCAGCACTATTTATAATAGCCAGGACATGGAAACAATTTAGATGTCCATCAACAGAGGAATAGATAAAAAAAGATGTAGTACATATACACAATGAAATATTATTCAGCCATAAAAAAGAATGAAATAATGCTATTTGCAACAACATGGATGTGCCTAAAGAATGTCATAATGAAGTAAGCCAGACAGAGAAAGACAAATATCATATGATATTACTTATATGTAGAATCTAAAAAAGTCTACAAATGAACTTATCTACAAAACACGAAGAGGAGGGGATGGCAACCCACTCCAGTGTTCTTGCCTGGAGAGTCCCATGGACAGAGAAGCCTGGTGGGCTGCAGTCAAACACAACTGAAGAGACTCAGCATGCATTCAAGCACACAAGAGAAACAGCGTTACAGACGTAGAAAATAAACTTATGGCTACTGGGGAGTAAGGGTGTGGGGAAGGATAAATTGTAAGATTAGAATTCATATACACATACTACTATTAATATACATAAAATAAATAACTAATAAGGACCTACAGTATAGCACAGGGAACTCTACTCAATACTCTATAATGGCCTATACAAGAAAACAATTTTTA